AAGCTCGCATCGCCCTGGAAGCCTTTTTATACCATCATCAAAATGCTGTCACCAAAGAAGTGTCTCATTCAGCACGAGTCGAGCATGCGTCACATCACAGCGCACATCGATAACCTCCGGGCAGCACATCCCTCTGCTCGCTGGGATAAACCCCGCCCACTGCCCGAGAAGGCGCCTGCGCAGCCTCGCGCCGCTCCCACGAGGCAGCAGCCACGGCGGCAAGCTACGCTCGCCCACCCACATGCAGCACGTGCGTCGACGCACTCGAGCGAGTCGCAATCAGATTCTGATAGCGACGACCCCCCACAGCGCCAGTCGGCATCCGACAGTGAGTTTAGCGCATCCGATCTCATTCCGTTGGCACGTTTCCGCGAACCATCACCTGCCGCACCCACCGGCAACGATCCCTCTGATCAAGGAATCCAGCCAGTGGTGCCCAGCCAGGAAACAACCACCTACGAAGTGCATACAACGGCTTCCGGAGCCCGTGTATCCACTGAGACGTCCACGGACACTGACACCGGTCACGTCGCTCAGACACTGCCCGACGACCAAGAGCGCTCGAATGTTATGCGCAGGGAGTGCACCATTACAGCGCCTGTGAGCACGCCCGAATCGCCGCAACACATGCAGGTCGTAACTCTAGCGACGCAAGACATATCGTCGCATCTGCCGAATGACGCCCCCGCCCGCAGCGCTAACATTCGTCAACCCGCGGCCCCAACTACTATACCCGCGCCACCCTCGCATGCAGATATATGCGTGATCACAAGCCGTCCCTACACCACAGCAGCCCGCATGACACACGCCATTCAGCCTGTCTCCGCGCCTTTCCGACGCTCGCCCCTTAACAACGCATGGTGCACACTATGGCACACACTCTATGGCTCACGAGGTCACCCGTGGTAATGGGCCACGGCTAAGCCCCAGCCATAATGCCCACTATAGGTTCCACTCAACTCGTATCCTTCTTCCTTCCAGGTACGTGGCGATTTGCGCTATCGCCATGACCATCGCTAAGGCTGAAGTTTTTGTGCCACGAGGGAGCCTGTCGGTCACCCAAAGTTCCTGGACCATCGTTTTTTCCCTCGACCTCGCACCGATTAAAACCTACATGCGCGGCATAGACGAACAAATTCAATATTTGTTCCACGACCCCGCCTCACGGACTCGTCGCGCCGAACTTCAACCCGACCACCCTACCCCCAACCCGCCCAGCTCCCTCCGCCGCGACCTCCAGCCTCCGTCCGACCGCTTCGCCACCCAACACCCACGGTTGCCATCGACGACCCCACTCTCTCAACGTTATGGGTGGCCCGCTGAAGACATTCAGCGGGAAGCCGCCGAGAACCTTGCCCGGCTCCGCAAGGGCCTGCATGATGCTAGTACACCCGCGACACAGCCACAAAAGCTCACCCAGCAACGTAAATCTCAGGGCAAGTCCAACATGGCACGCTTTCGTGCCATGATCCAGGACGTCATCCACGCGCACGCAGCCGACTTCAATGCACGCTATCAGCGCTTAACAGACCGCATAACCGCGCTTACATCCATGTTTACTCACCGCCGTAGTAAGCGGGCCCTACTGCCTTTTCTCGGAAGTATACAAAAGTTCTTGTATGGTGTAGCCACGGAGGACGACATTAACGCATTACAGGACAGGCTCGCACGCATGGAGACGACACATGGCGCTTTTCAGCACGCCCTGGAAAAATCCCTCACAGTTTTTAACCTTACTAAAACCCAGGTCCAACTCAATCAGCATACGCTCAACCAACTCATCGACGGGGTTGACACAATGCGACAGTTCGTCAATAACATCAACGCCCGTCTCGTTACACTAACTGACGCAATTACTGCACGCTTTTCACTCATTACGCAATTGCAGACTACCTTCGATAAACTCATTCTTACATTGAACGATATAACACTAATCGTCGCTGACATGGAACACGCACTGACTACTTGCTTGACAGGGAAGCTACCCATTTCCTTAGTCTCCCCCGCACAATTACATGAAATCCTTCAGGAGATTAAACAAGTGCTGCCTAACTACCTGGCTCTTCCGAATGACATCGACCACAGCATCTTGTACTACTACAGTCTCCTCCAGACAGTCGTAGTGCCAGTGGAGGACTCATTTCACGTTATTACGTTTCTTCCACTTAAAGGTGAGATTTCAGAATATTCAAAATAAGTGATATTTATCAAGAATCAATATATATATTATAATAAAACATCTAAAAAAGTTTGTCACCCGATTTATTTATTAAATCATGAAAAATATCGAGATCAAATATAGTTAAAAACATCGTCTGCTATTCTGAGTCAGTGGCACACTGCCTTCGGTAATCATCGGCTCTTTCCGGATTCGTGACGTCACAGTTGTCAAACAATACTCGAGGTCACTACAAAGCAATTGATAAGTTGAGAGTATTATTCGCGTTTTATTCATTGGATTTGACCCAATATCATGGTGTATTGTTCGGCAGTTAACTGCCACAATGGATCTGGAAGTGGCAGATCATTTCACGCGTTTCCGAATGTGAAGGATAAGAAGGAACTTCGCGAGAAATGGCATGTAGCGATGAGGAGGCAAGGCGATCGACCGGGGAGTGTTTGGCAGCCGAGTACTTGGGCAAAACTTTGTTCCGATCATTTTTTACCGGAGGACTTTGTTATGCCGCCGGATTTCTGTGCCAGTATAAATTACAAATTAAATGTTAAACCACAGCTGAAGGATGGTGCAGTACCAAGTCGTTTTACCCACTCTGGTATACAGGAGAAAAAACAGCGAAGAGGTGCTCTGGAGAAACGCCGTCGACTAGAACAGAGTCAGGTATGCATTGTCAATACTAGTCCGAACACTGACTCATTGCTCAGTCGGTTTGTAGTCTACTTGCGACCACACAACCGACTGAGCAATAGTGTCGGTGTTCAGACTATTAGGCATGGTGAAATTTGTTGATGCAATTAATCTTGTTTATAATGGTTAGTTAGGCCTGTGTTGCCTGCCTATCATTGTTTTTTGTATGAAAATCTTAGTACGGTACTGAACTGTACTTTGCATTGCTCCTACATGTAAATTAAAATAGTAATACTTATACTATTATTAAAATTATTTACATAAAATAATTATATTATTACAATTACCGGTAGAGATCAGAATCAGTAATGAGTGAACTGAAACATGCTTTTCTTTTTCCAGATGGTTGATGATCTCATCAACAAAAGTTTGAGTGAAGATGCATCTGCTGAAAGTGAAATGATGATGGACATGATGGAGGAGCATGACGAGGATCAGGAGGATGTGACGCAGCCTGAAGATAATTCACCTCAACATGTTGGGACTCAGTTTCAACCACATTGTCTCCCAGCTGCTTCCCAGACAATATGGGTAATTAACGATAATATAATTAATAAATAATTTTATAAGTAGGCCTATACTAGCCTATACTATAAATAATTAATAATTAATTTATTAAGAATACTAACCTACTAATACTAATTAACCATTAATATATTAAGAATACTAGCCTACCGTGATGATGGCATGGTATGCATGTTCATGTTAATTAGATTTTGCTATTTGTATTTATTTCAGTACCGTAGACATATTGGAGTGCAGACCTGCAACCCCTACTCCAGTAAAACCAAGGGCACCCAGTGTAATTTGCCGCCAAAGCCAGAGATTCCCCAGCTCGGACAAAATGAAATGAGCAAGATGACAAGCTGCACTCAGACAGAACCAGTTCTCAACACATCGTCATCTGTTCAGTGTTGTCTCATTGGAGAACCTTTGGTGTTTGATGTTGCTGCTCAGGAGACCGACTCATCTGATGATGAGATGCAGTGGGAAGATAATGATGATGAAGATTACTTGCCGTCCTCTGCATCTGAAGATTCTTGTAGCGATGATGATGAGCCAGAGGAGGATTGGTATGTTTGTCTTTTAAACAAAATTATTAATTGAATATTAACACCAGCAGCTTTTATTTAATTTAATAATAATAACGTATAGTAAACATGTACATGTACATGTTTTAATTATACTGTACAGTTCAAAAGCAAAACAATCTTAATTTCCATCTTAATTTATAGGCAGCTACAGTATGAGTATTTTGTAACTCATTATATAAAAAACACTAATAGTAATAATGGACCTGTTCATGACTATATTGATCTGTTTTTTAAATTGTGTTACTGTTCCATTTCAGGGTCACTATGGCTGATGAAACATATGATAAAAGGCCTGAGAAGATGAGAAAATTTATTGTCTTCGAATCTTGTCTTCGAACATTGATGTCTGTCTGTATGGTATGTTGTCAGCCGGCCAATGTGGCCATTAAGTACATCCGTGGTACTTTAGTGGTCATGCAGGCAACATGTCCAGATGGCCACTTGAGAGAGTGGTACAGTCAGCCATTGTTGGGCAAGATGCCAATGGGCAACTTGCTTTGCAGTAGTGCTATGTTGCTAAGTGGTTGCAGCCCAGTGAAGGCAGTCAATTTTCTCAGAGCAATCAACATTGTGACCTTCTCAAAGAACACCTATTATCGTTTCCAACGCCTGTATATTTTGCCAGCCATAAACAGATCCTGGGAGTACAAACAAGCTGCCTTGTTAAAGGAGGTTCAAGGGAGAGATGTCACTGCTGGTGGTGATGGGCGTTGCTGCTCCCCAGGCCACACTGCTGTGTATGGATCATACTCAGTAATGGACTTGGAAACTTCGAAAATCCTCGACATGCAACTTGTTAAGGTAAAGTTACTTCTACCGGAATATATTTAGCTGTCATAAGTAATAAGAATGTTGAATTAAAACATGATCATATTCATAGTTTGTCATTACAAAGGAAATAGGTTAGAAAGTTAATTATCTATTGCATGAAAATGACAGCAATTTTATGTAGGCGATATATATGAGCTTATTCAATGACAATAGTTTTCAATTTGCTTTCAATACACATTTTTTTGTCTCTGAATTTCAGGTTACAGAAGTTAAAAACTCTTACTGGATGGAGTTGGAAGGCCTCAAAAGGTGTTTTGCAAAGATACTCAGCAGTGGAGTCTCCATCAAAACATTTGTGACAGACCGACACACCCAGATAAAGAAATTTATGAGGGATGACCAGCAGGAGATCACGCACTATTTTGACATTTGGCATGTTGGCAAAGGTGAGCAACATTTTGATAAATACAGAAGAACTTAATAAAAAGTTAGTTGCCTTGGTAAAGACAGAAAAATAGTTGTATTGGAAAAACATGTTTTTCCTCCATAAAATATACTTTTAATTGCTTCAGCAGCATTTTTTTTAAATCCACTCTCTTTTTGTTATTGTAGCTATAATGAAAAAACTGGATAAGCTTGCAAAGAAGAAGTGTAATCGCCAGTTGACAAGTTGGGTCCGCTCTGTAGTCAATCATTTGTATTGGGCTGCAGCTTCAAGTGGTGGAAGAGCTGAGGAGTGCAGGGAGAAGTGGTTGTCTGTGGTGAACCATGTCGCAAATGTCCACACAGGCCATGGTGATATTTTTAAGGAGTGTGCCCATGGACCTCTCGATGACAGGGACTGGATTAAAAAAGGTAATTCCTCCATGTCATAATTTTTTAAAGATAGTTCAACTCACAAATGTGTTAAGAGCCCAAAAATACAGAATAATTGATTGTCAAAATCGAATTTTGTAAAAGAAAACAATTGTGCAACATGATGTCCCCATCAAAATGTAATTGAAATGCCAGAAATACATTATGTACTATACAGCATTTGATTCCAGGATAACTAACATGTTAATGAATTCACATGTACTGCCTGTATTTATTACAATAATTTCATTTTCAGGTTCCAGGTTGCACAAGGAATTCAAGGAGATTGTTGCCTCCAATGGTCTCATTACCGATATTGGTAGACTTTCGCCTGTGGCCCAAACATACAGCTTGGAGTCCTACCACAAAGTTGTTATATATTTTGCACCGAAGTCTGTTCATTTTACATATCCAGCCATGAAAGGAAGGTGAGTACTTTTGGAAATGGTTTTGGGCTAAAATTTTAAAAGGAAAACTTTAGAAACTTTTTAGAACCTTAAAAGTTCATACAGTGAAACATGTAATGTAAACATGGTAAATTATTTAAGTAACCAATACTGTGTATCAAAATACTTAGAAATTCTTATTAAGTGTTGTAATGAACATCCTTTTATTTCAGAATTCTCCTTTCTGTGCTGCACTTTAATGAGAATTGCAAAAGGAAGCAGGCAGTCACCAAAAGTGGCGAGGAACAATGGACGGTGTCATACATGAAGTATGGAAATGGTAATGCAATTACAAAAGAAGTAAAGACCCCAATCACATATGGTATGTAATTTTAGGCATGTTTTCAATTAAGATTCAGGACTTAGAACTAAGCTCACTTCAGATTAGAACATACATCATGTACATGCAATAAACCAGTGCCAAACATGCCAAAGGGCGGTTAAATAAATGGAGTCATTGCAGCTCTTGAACATGTTGAATCTAGTGTCCAAGATTGTTTGGTGGAAGTGATGAAGATGCGCGAGGAATTCCCTACAATGGAGGAGGCAGCAGCCAATATGGAAAAAATTAACAGCAATCTCCCACCCAATGTTTGTGATGGTTTTGAGAAAAAGGAGAAGGCAGTTGTTGTCGCTGCACGCAAGAGCAGATTCCAAAAGGGTGCTGAACTTGCCAAAAGTTGGGCGCCAGAAAGAAAAGGCAAACGTATAAGGAAGCCATCTCGACGATTAATGGATCGATAATGAATTATGGACTTGCTGTAACATACATCCCACATGCTTAATCATGGACACATTTCATTTAAAACTACTTCAATGAAAGAAATACAATAAATTCTTTCTTTACATATGGATTTATTATTAACTATTTTTGTATACAAATTAAGGGCGTGGATATTTGAAACCTTTATAATTAAAGTCCTCACTTTCCCATTGAGCCCTGATCCTTGAAACCACACATGATGGAAGAACTCGTCTGTTTTTCCGTCCTAATCTGTGGTAGGTCCATGTCACAAATCTTCGATAGGCAATGTATCTATACAATCTGAAAAGGAAATTGAACTACATGTATATGAATGAAACTATGTTAAATTAAAACATGCCACTTTTTGTATTATATTAAGCAACCAAAAGTGATGCTTGTTAAGTTGATAATTCTATATTGTAAATGGCCAACAGTTAATAGCTTCTTGACAGCATCATCCTGATATTAGTGTTACATTTTTGATTCAGTTTGATTCCATTATTACTACATTTCCTTAGTACAATTTAAATATTGGTAACATAATATTTGCTTCGACTTCGTTATGGCATGTTATAACATTATAACATTAACAACAATGGAGCAAGTTAAAATAAAGTTTCATCTCCTAAATTAAAGCTTACTCGTTTATTGGTTCCTCATCACCAATGGGACCTTGTTCCTGCGCATAAGTCCAAAAGGAACACTCCAACACATGCCGGTTCAAACAATTTACATCGAATCCCTCATGCTCAATGATGCAAGTAAGGCCTTCTTCCTGTATTTTTTCCGTCAAAACAGAATTTTCTTGGCAGCATCTGCTTTCCAAACCATTCCCCATTGGTAGACAATTTCCACACTCACACCTGAAGAAAAAAATTAAATGCAATGCAACTATATGTACAGGTGTTACGTGTATGTGATGTACATTACATGCATTATGTACAGACATGACTGATCAGCTGATGAGGTAAACAAACATTGTAACAATGTGCACCGATCGTGATTTCTGTGACTTTCCTGTTATTTTAATACTAAACTAGGACACTGCTAAAATAAACAATGATCTTCTGAACTTACCAGTCCGTATTTCCAACTCTTTCTGCTCGAAATGCAGGTGCATGCTCTGCATCTTCGTCTTCGACCTCGTCATCCGATTCATCATCGCTTTCGTCGGGCCGAATTTGTCGCAAAATTGGCTCATATTGATAAGGCTGCACGTTGTATGGATCTTCAATATATCCATCCTCCGATTCCACCAATAATTGTGCCATCATTTATTAAAACAATTGAAGAAAACGTTGGAAAATCACCGGCTCCATAAAACACACAGGAATATTTTGCTTACAATACAGTTTGGCAAGTGTGACGTCACAAGTGGTGCCACCTGGGGACTGTGTTTGGAACTATTTCTATTTCATAACTTCGGAAATCTTGGAGCATAAGAAATTTTCGTGATGATATAATATTCGGATTAAAATAAATATGACGATAATTTATCATTTCAAACACTTGTAACATATATGTTAGGTCTATCTCAATGTATTTTAGGAATAAAACTTTTGGTAAAATCTCACCTTTAAGGACACTTAGTTGAAAGCACTGGATTAAGGACACTTAGTTGAGAGCTCACTCACGACTCCCCAGTCCATTGGGTCATCAAGATGCCTTCTTTTCCTTCGCGTAAGGAGCTTATCCTGGGCCATTATCGATTGTTCTCGCTTTCGAGCCATGTTTCATTGCTGCACCCAATTTTAACTTTTCATCATTCAACGGGATTCTTTGTCAGTGTGATTTTCAGGGCTGCATATAAACTAGTATTGATCTGATTTCTGGCAATGTTTCGTGGAATTGTTGACTTCTTGGAGCTGACATTGTCTGCAACAGAACTTTGTCATTCCCAGATTCCTGCGAATAAGTGTGCCCGGACCCACAGCATGATGATTTCTTCATGCATGCTCAGGCATTTCGCTGAAATACACATCAACGCCTCTGTGTCATACTTTTTCTTCTCTCCAGTGGCCACAAAGGGCGCCCTATTCGCTCTTACTCTGAAGTATACTGGGCTGGCTGCATGTGATCTCTGATAACTTCTTATACTACTACACATTCATTGGGTAGAACACAGGGGTGAATACATTATAGAGTTCGAGCAAGGTGGTGAGGGCGAGGTACCCTGTCTGCCTTCATATCTATAACGGTCAGGATATTTGAATGTTTGACAAAAGAAAAACCTTCACACTGCTTACTATGCTTGAATGTAACCAGCACACAAAGGTAGTGCTGCTTAGGTTTCATCACTCTTGGCCGACAGGTAACGCCTGACCAACTGTCCAGAAAATTTGTCTTTCAGCAACAATCAAGGCGAATGCATAGCGGAGCGGGAACCTGGTCGGACTTGGGTATCTATTTTTAAGGTCTCTTCCTATTTGTTAAACTGTATGAAGGAATTGTTTGCTTCCTCTCTTTGTGTGCTTTCGATATATGTCCACTCTATTTTACGAAAATACTAACAAAACACGATGCGCCTGTGCGAATTTCTGGATTTTATCCCTTCTGCGCCGATAAATCACGAATCACGTCAGAGTCGTGATTTATCATGGAAGAAAAAGATGAAAATCTTGCGACAAACGCACGCCAAATGTTTGGCTACGGTTTCAAAATAGTTAATCCTGCTTATACGGCATTAACGAATAAAACGTGGTGGACAGTCAATGTGCACATCCTATAAGAAAGGCCAACATAGAAGAAGGGCTGGTGTACAACAGGCTTATCTATTGCGACACAGCATTACGGCACGAGACTGCACGGCACAAAAAAAACTAAGACGAAGGACACAAAGAAACATGGATTCAATAGTGAACGAACTGCCTCCTAGAAGTCAATGAGCTATCGCAGAACCCGCCTTATGACTGGAGCGTTGTTTAAACAATCACTTTCGTTATGTGATACGCGCAAACTATAGTAGGAAACTAACGTCCAGATATCTGACACGTCAGCTTAGGAGAATGTTGCACGCTGAAGTATATGGGCGATGTGGATGAGTTGTTAGTCTAATATATGAGGGAATAGCTCCCTAGTCCCTTTATAACACATAGTAAAAATCGAACTCGGACTTTCAGGCCATCGCCAGGCATGGACGCGGTTCAGTCGTCCGATTGAATTAGACTCATCACAAAAGTATCGAAATAGAAGCATGGCCAACGCAGCAAAAATGCAGGGACAATTCGGCCATTTTGAGCAGAACAATGAAAAATTATGTCACTAACGGTGACACAGACGCTTGATTGTGATTCATGCAAAATCCACTGGCACATTACACGCGTACACACCCCGTTGCAGCTCGGAGACGAGTTTGACCGGCAAGAATACTCATGCATGGCGAGAATTTGCTCAGACGACCACGATTCTCGTTGTAATAGTGTAGGGGTCCACCCCGGACCAAGTGCTCTCCGTGATATCGGAATCATCAACAAACGAGCGTGGGCCTAAGAGCATACACGTTTAACCGAGCTGGCTAGTCGAAGTCATTTCGCACGTAACGAATGGCCGACAGGAAACAGCAATGGCAACTAGACCGTCATGAAACAATTGCACATTTTCTTTCCCACAAAACCGATTTTGAAATTTCAATCTTTTGAGTTTCAGACGTCTATTGGGCATACCATCTCGCGTGTGCAATGGCCATCATTGGTCTGGCACTCTTACTGACGAAATGTGCCACACAAAATTCGAGAAAACGTGCTGCGTTTTGTAGAGGCACAGAGAAAAAGTGCGAAGATGATAGTAGAACGAATACGTTGGTGAACAAGTTGGCTTCCCTGTTACGCACGCCTGAGCCATCCATGGAGGCATGTGGAGGTTTCACACGGAGGGCAATCGGGAGAGTCCAACGGAATTGCCAAGGAACCTTGCTGCGGACTTGCGACACGCGTCAACCGGGCGCCTGGCATATTAACAACAGCCGCCACAAGCGTACGCTGCAGCGTCATTGCAAGCGAAAGGGCCGTGCGCGAGCTGACCCGCCAAGAGGACATGTCAGTGAACTAACGGCGTCTGATAGGAACTAGATGCCGCAAAGCATGGCCGCAAGAATGTGCGAATGCAAAGTTCGGTTCATAGGTAGCACCAACTGTGCTCGAGTCACTGTCCGCGAATCGACGGAAGACCTCACGGCGTGTGTGGGGAAGCGAAGATCAGCGTCTAGGCGGAGAGAGGACGCCGACTGGCGTCTATGGAGGCTGCTGGTCATTGTGCGAAAGCGTACGTGCCCGTAACAAGTACCAAGCACAACAACCTTGAGCGAGACTCGAAGACTACTGCTATTCGACGCAGTGCCGACTTAAGAACCCGCAGCCGCGCCCAAAACTACGCATGCCACACAGCTCGCAGCCTCTGTAAATCTGCGACGGAAACTGCCCGGACCCTTGTGGCAGGCATGCGGGCGCATTTTCGGAACGATGAACGTGCCTCCGCCTGAGCGAGTCGAGCATGCAAGGAAATGCTAAGAAGGTTGGCCGGTGCATTGAAATAGCGCTACACCGGACCTTAGACAGCAGGTCAAAAGACATGGAGGAATTTGGTAGATTAGCGTTATTCTGTTAAGAGCAGTGGATGGAAGATGCGCGAGTCTGCCGCCTCATGCACCCGCTGGCGGATCACTCGCCGTGTAAGAGCTGTAGAAGTTATAAGATACGCAGCAGCACGGCGTGTCGCTTACGAGGCGTACACGTCATGCGATGACGTCATAAGGTGGGTGAACACTCGGGTAGTCCTGACGAATGACTAGTAAGAGGGTCAGCTCAGTCAGCGCGGTTCCCTACAATCTCGCGGTCGATCGTAAGTATGTCAGCTACGAAATTAAAACGAGCTTTTGTAAATCTAAAATTCAGTGAGATAACCGCTGCGTGACTATTTACCCTGCGCATGTAGTGGTCACTCGACAGTCCTAACCCATGGGCTAAATTCCCATCAACACCTGTACTGTATTGTCATTGTCATACAAGCACGAACGTGTACGTGTAGTATTTCTTACGCCTTGATCATTAAAAAAGAGTGGTTTCAAGTGCGTTGTACGGTTGGACGCGCGATTCATTCTAAAAGAATGTGTGACCGACCGCTGAATTGTTACCATTAGTATATTTGTTGCTACAAGATGTCAATTCGTTACATACAAGTCTACAGGGAGGGTTAATCAGAGGTTGGCTATACCAGGTATAAATCTGAATCCTCGTTAGCCTGGGCCGGTCGGCCGGGTCGGTGGGGGCGAATTGCTAAAGCGCGCTACTGCCGAATGTTTGTACTGGAATGATGTAAGCCGCCTTTGTGACGCTTGTGATCCCGCGTCGGCGTTTCCCCGTAAGAAGTAGGGCGCTTTCTAAAAAACTGGGTCGCGCATAAAATATACGGGAGAATACGTCAGCAAAAATGAGAAAACTGGATTGTTTGAAAAGGTGGATCGTCGTTCATATCTACGGTGCTAGCACGAATAAATATTGAAGCCAACAAAGGGCGTCCTCCCACCTGCCTCAGCAAGGCAGCAGGCAGTAGCAAGCAGTAGGCCAGCGAGGCAGCAGCAGCAGTAAGACGCAGCAGCAAGCAGCAGTAAGCGTAGCAGTGAGCGGAGCAGTCAGGCAGGCATGATAAAAAATAGAGTTTATTCCCAGTGCAGTAAAATAACCCGACCAGCAGGCAGCTCAGCAGCAAGGGTGACCCGCAACATGGCGAGGTAGTTGCTCAGGCAGCAAGCTGCTCTGAGGCAGGCCGTCACCCTTGAAGTAAAAGGTAGCGCGAACTCAAGCAGAAAACGAAGAAGGCGCCAAGTAGGCAGCAAGCTCAGGCTCGAGGGCAACGGCGAGAATCTAGTATGTCCGTAGTAAGTGAGTAAGAAAGCCTCTGCAAGGTCGGCAGCAGACATAGCAGAGGGCGAGAACGCCAAATAAGTAGGAGTCAGGCGAGTATGAGCATGCAGTGAGTAAGTAGTAGCAGCAGGCAGTTCACGCAGCAGCAGGCAGTAGTAGTATTAGTAGGGCAGTAGCGAGCCAGTAGTAGCTAGTAGCAGCAGCAGGCAGCAGCAGCAGGCAGCAGCGCACGCCGCGCCGCAGGTGGCACATTGGCATCAAACTGATCACAAACACGCGGCGGCCGATAAACACCACGGCCAGCGCCCGCGCCCTTGCGGCTGCGGGCGTGTGGTCGTGTGAGTACGGACCTAGTACTCCTGGGCGTCTCGATCTGAATCCTTAATCTGCACATCGCTCCGTGACTATTACATCACAAGCGAGTCATCAGCAAGACGAGCCCCGATGCACTATAGCACGATACGAAAGATCCAGAGCGACGAAGCTAGAGAAAGGTACGGTCTTATATATGCGCAACCAAGATCGTATCAAGCACTAACAAATATTGAACCGGGATAGAATGATACGCCAAGAGGAATGAGGTGGATAAAAAGAGTGAAGCATGCGGAAATAGCGACCACGAAGTCGAAGCGGACGGATGGCCGAATAGGAGTTTATATGAGATATTTGCAGCACGAGCCCCGGCGGCCGATAAGCCAACCGATGTGCAGCGCGAGC